CTTGTTGTGATTCATAATGACCCGCAATATCTCGAAGATGTCAAGTCCCTCGAGCCCTACATTCTCGAGGAACTTAACGTTTTGGAGCTTGTTCTCTCCTCCGACGAAGCCAAATACGACGTTGAGTACTCAGTGTCCGCTGACTGGCCTGTACTTGGAAAGAAGCTAAAGAAGGCTGTTCAAACAGTTAAGAAGGCTTTGCCTTCTCTCACTAGCAATGACGTGAAGGGGTATCTCGCGGACAAGAAAATCTTGGTTGATGGCATTGAACTCGTTGAGGGTGACCTTGTTGTGAAGCGAGGAATCAAGGAGACTGACAACTCAAAGGGCATGGAAACCAACACGGATTCTGACGTGTTGACCATTCTCGATGTGAACTTGTACCCAGAGCTGGCTCATCAGGGTCTGGGTCGTGAGATCATCAACCGCATTCAACGCCTTCGCAAGAAGGCTGGTCTTGTCCCCACCGACGATGTGAAAATGGAATACACCGTGATTTCGGACCCGGACAACATTGGCCTCGGTGAGGCTTTCAAGTCTCAGGCTCAAGCCTTTGAGAAGGTCCTGCGCCGCCCAGTTGACCAGAGTGCATTTGGTGGCGATAAGCTTCCCACCGGAGAGGAAGAGGGTACTATCTCACAGGAAGAACAGGAGGTGCAAAATGCCACTTTCTTGTTGCGCCTGCTCAAGCTTTAAAAAGTCGACCAAAAGAGCATATGTAGATATCGAGTCTACTTTTCAACTATTTTTTTGTTGCTTTGAATGAAATCATATGGCCTTTCATCAGTAGTTCACCTTCAATAACTAGCGAAATTCAACCTAGAATAATTTACAAATGCTCCTGCTTGCGCCGCCATACCTAAACAGCTCCAAATATTTGAGTGCTTCCGATGCCTTGGATGCCACCAATATACAATTTCAAGGAACCATTCTTTAGCCCTTTTTGGATGCCGCCTGTTGGGGTTGGTTAGCGTGTCGAACAGCGCAGCAATCGCTTGTCACCTACCAGGTAGCAATTCTTCAATCGCATAAACTCTTTGGCACACATGTCTTTATGTACCGAGTTGTAATCCGTAACAACACACTTGCCGTATGCCGCAACCTATCAGGCTAGTTAGTTCGGCAATGCTGAGATGAGGTCAGACAGAAGCTACACACCTCTACGGAGCATTGGGCTGAAGCTTTGGCAATCTTTTCAACTGGACGAGTTCTTCCCGGCATCTTGCAAGGAGGATGTGACGATGTAGCCCTGAAATACAAAGTAGCTTAATGTTCCGATGTGAAGCCAACAGGACCCCCCAGGCATGGAAATCTAAGAATGTTACATAAGACCACGTGACCATCCTGCATGTTTCTGTCGCGACAACCAAAACAACCTGCTCAGCCCACCATTACGTCGATTAATGGCGCATGGGTTTAGTCTATTGTTCCCGTTATTTTGGAATTTCTGATTGCAGAGGGCTTCTGTCTGCGCATGTGCTTCATCCTCGGTGCTCCCCGCTGTCGCGATGATTTATTTGGTCCTGCAGCTCTATGACCCAGATGCGACAAGCGCGCCTTAAGATCGCGAATTTTCGATGCCTCCGATATCCTCTCAGCGCCGAGCCGTGACCGAAGAGATCTCATCTCTTTCAGACGATGGTAGGGCGCAACCAATCACTCGTTGACGTAAACGGAACCTAACCTCTATAGATGTTGGCTTTCTCTACCAGGTTATTGCTGCCGCCGAGACAAAACCCGAAGCAGATCGACTCCCATTCCGGGCGCTCTTCGAAGCATACGATGAAGTGGTTGGCGAACATGGTGTCAACGCGGATCCAGGCCATGCATGCCTGCGCTTCCTGTTCAAGATGGGAAGCAAAGGTGTGCGCGGCGAGACTCTCTTCGACAAATTCGAGAATGCGCTCCAGCAGATGGGAATCGTGATCGAAATCGGCGAGGACGGCTCTACGAACCTTAACGAGACACACGAATATGATCAATATACAGCGGATATTACCCACAGTCAGACGGTTGACCATCCCCATGACCGTCCCCCAATTACGAATGGAATACCACCGGCTCCCAAGCGGCGCGCATCGTTCAACACTACGTACGACATTGGCGAGGATGCTACACAGCGAAGTGCAATCAATCGCCCTAGCTCTCGATCGTCAATGTCGCGACTTGAAATTGGCAAACCCGAGTTTTCTAAACTAAAGCTGTCACCTACATCTGGACATGATTCCGGGCCTAGCAAATCGCCAGATCGGACACAATTGATCAGCCAGTTCTTGGATGTTGGTCGGCGATTGCTCAGCAGATTTGATGGAATAGAAAACAAGCACGGAGTCACGGAAGAACCTCCTTTAACTAATGGAGTGGTTGCGAGGTCGGCCGTTGCCCGTGATCGTTCGAGGAGAATTTCCGAAGCCTCACGTCCCCGTCGTTCACCCTCGCACGATTCCTCGGACACCTCTGAGTCCGAAGATGTGCAATCAATTATGTCGCAGAGCCCAGAACACGATTCTTTTGACAAAGAAGAGGTGCCGCCAGAGTTCATCTATCGCCCGCAACTTTCGGATCTACTTCGGGATGCATCAACCTTCAACATGTACCGACAGCGATCGATCTGCCGTCGAATTTTGACACAATGGCTGAAAAAAGCCTTTCAAGCGCGACAGACTCGCCAAACCAGGGAAACACTTGCTGTAAATTATGATCGAGGCCTTCTTCTTCGACAAGCCTTTGAGCCATGGCGAGGAGTAATTCAAGAAAAACGCCACTCGGCTCGGACAGATCGATTCTTCAAGCACCTTGAAGCGCGTGCCAGTCGCGCACGGGATTTATATCTAATGACAAAGGCGTTCAGCCACTGGGCCCAACTTACGTCGGAGGAAGTAGCTCGGACCTCTGCTGCCCGGAGACATGTACTTGGAGTGAAATATTTCAATGCCTGGCGCGAGATCACTGCCATCAATGAGTTGAAGGCTCAGCGTTTTGTACTACGAAGGCCTTTTAACGCGTGGCGGAAGAAGATCCAAGATTTGAAGGCAGCAGAGACACAAGCAGTCAGCGTGCGCAACACAAAGATACAAAAAGCAGCGTTTTGGGACTGGTGGTGGTGCTTCTGCGACCGGCGTGTTCTCGAGGTTTCTGATTATCGACTCAAAAGACGGTCACTTCTTTCGTGGCTTCGGAACTTGAGAACCAATCGAGAGCGCGACCATGAAATAGACCTGCACAACAAACGGTCATCATTGAAGTCGGTATTTCAGATATGGTCTCAGCACTCGAAAACAATTGCACTTGCGGATCAGGAAGTCCAGGCTTCTCGGCGCCAACATGACCTCAGAGAAATCTTTAATGAATGGAGAATTCAGTCTCGGCTGGCACCGGCTGCTTCTCGTGTCTCTGAGATGGTCGATACTAGGATCGTACGAAATGCCCTTTCGCGGTGGATTGGAAAGATCGAAATGATCAGACAAGCAGAAGAGGTAGATCGCCATCGAATCCAACACAACGCGTGGATCTCTTGGAATGATACGCTTCGCTGCTTGGCTCTTCGTGCTCGAATTGACGAGCGGATCAAAATGGAGGCGATGTACAAATGGATTCTGATGGAAAGATTTGAGCTAATGCGAAGGATACGAGAGCAACGCATCAAGCGGGAAGTATTCTCTCGATTCGTGACAAACACTCGGGATACTTACACCCGTTTACTCTTTCATGCTGAAGCTCATGAAGCTCATCAAACCGAAAACTTGGTTCGATCTAAATTTGCCATTTGGCGTGATCAAGTGCAACTTCAGCGCGAGCGGGAGTATGTAGCATCTGAGTTCTATGCTCCACGGCTCGCAGCCGAGTCTCTTACGATCTGGCGATCCAAGCATAATCAAGTAGTCAAAATGGAAGGTTGGGCCCAAGATGCTCGGTTCTATTTCTTGATGAAGAAGTTCATGAAACAATGGCATCAGGCCAAAGTGGACTCTGGCAAACGACGGCGGCAAGAATCTTATGCTAAAATCCGGCGGCATATCAAGGTCAACCTCGCGTCTAAGGCGTTGGCTGCCTGGTCATCAAAAACTCGAATCATCATGGACATGGAGCAACAAGCTGCTGATGTTGATCGCGAAAAATTGCTTGCCGACGCATCTGAGATATTCATCCAATGGCACGGCAAAACAACGAAGAGGATTCAGGATTGCCAGGACGCCGATGATTCCTATTTCCGACAACTCGCGTTTGACCAGATGATGCAAATGTCCGAAACCTTCATCATTCGGCGTGAGATGGAAGACCAAGCAGACAATGTATACCGATTGCATGTCCTACGACTGGCGGCAGCTTCTCTTCGCAAGCTCAGCCTTCGTATCTTCCAGATGGGTAGTACCGCCGAGACCGCCGAAGCCATGCGGGAAAGAAATTTGCGGAAGCACTCGCGAAAAATGTTCCACGATTGGGTGGACAAGGCCCGGATGAAGCTGGAGGCTCGAGATTCGGCCGGTCCAACCTTCACCCCCGCACGAATTTCATCTTTTGGAAATGGTAATGGCGTTGGATCAGCGATGTTTGATCCCTGGTATCAAGAGCAGGCAGAAACACCGTTCAAAATAAGTGACTTCACAACAACATCCCAGGCAACATCTCAGGCAACCTCCCATGATCCGATCTCTGCAAGCCCCTTGGCAACCCCCAATTTCACGACCTCTCCCTCTAAGCGAGCCGCCCGGGCGCGAGCCCTCGCCCAAATATCCACCACCCCCGCCACACCCTTACGCACACCTTTCGCAAGTCGACTACTTCGAGCCGGGACTGCGACTGCTTTATCCACCTCTTCCAAACGACCACGGTCTGGTCGGCGAAGCTCCGTGGGAAATAGCGTCCGGTTTGTGGATGAAGAACCTCCCGAGTCTCCAACAGATGGTCGCAGATCAGCGAATCGACGATCTTGACGTTCTTGTTCGGTATATGACCTCTTTGAAGCCGCTTTAGCCTCATGTAAATCAGCGATGGTTATAATGTTTTTCTCTCATGCCCTGTCGATAGGTGCGATCATGTTTCATTAAATGCATCATCCGGCGCAGCATATAGCGGGTTCAAGGGTTCTTGGGTCTTTGGTATACTCTTTTGTACTTTTGCCATGATTGAATGTGATACTTAAAATTATGAAATGAGCCTTTCCAGAGCAACTGTAGGGGAAAACATGTTCGTTCAATGAGATATAGTTATAATTGTCTACTATATAGTATCTGGTTAATTCCGAGATCAGATATGGCAAATGCTTATCGGGGAGCTCTGTAGCTATACCCCAGATAACTTAGAGCTCTTTGAATGCAAATTTATCACCCCGAGAAATAGCAATCACTAGATTCACAACATGTTTAGATTCGTACCTAACTAGCTCATTTGTGTTCAAGTTGATGGTCATCAGTCACGAGTGGAGCGGAAGCGCGTAATTGACTAGGTCTCTCTTCCGCCTTGTCCCCTGCGTGTATCCAGACAACTCCCCAGACACCTATCTTCTACCTTTCATTCCCCCTGCAACTCTGGCTACTCCCAGACATAATAAACTTTGAGCTGGCAATGTTGTAACGTGTTTTCGAGCGCAACGAGCGTCCAACTCCCGAATAAACCGCCTCTATGCGAGCGGTACTGCCGGGGAGACCCCCAGCGAAACTCCAGTCGTTCAGCACAGCGCTGTGGGACGGTCTTCGTGTTGTTGTAAGTACTTACAATTCTTGTCTAATTTCTGCTCCAGCTCTGCAGCTTGTTTAAACCCCCTGTTGCTGACCCTTGTCCCCGCGCGTTCCCCGATAGGCATACATCTCCGGCCACGCGCTGGTTATCCTCGGCGGTCCGCAAACGCTCCTCCAAACGATTTACATCGATGACACAGATACCCTCGAGGCCGTAGCGTTTGACGAAACCTCTGGCAAGATTGCAGTTTGCGGTGGCCCTGATGTATTCGTGTACCAGCCATACGGCATCCAAGGCGAAACGCTCAAGGTGCGCATACAACCCCACTACTCAGAGCTTAGTCGACCAGCAACACATTCTCGGAAGGGGAATCACAATTGGTTTTGACACATAGCTTCATTTAGTGGTCGCTCCTTTATTCATTCCGCGCCCCCGATGACGACGAACCGATCTATACACTCTCGTGGGGTTCCTCGAACGAGCTCCTCGTGGGAAACTCTCGCCTCGCCCTTTGGTTTATGAACGACGAGCCGCGCCTTGTATGGAAAAGAAAGCTTGCGACACCCGTGAAATTCGCGCAATTCTCCCCAGATTCGTCCTTGATTGTGACAGTGGGGCACTATGACCGCCTAGTCAAGGTATGGAGGCGACTTGCCTTTGGCGCAGACGAGGTTCGGTTCGAGAACTCATATCTACCCCATCCTAATGTTGTTACCGGGATACACTGGCGGTTACCTCGGCACCCCGAGCAATCTATGGATAATGTTCTGTATACATTTTGCGCCGATAACAAGATTCGAGTATGGGCAGTAACGGACCCTCAGGCGCTTTCTGCCCTACAGTTCTGGGCAGAGATTGACATGGGTGAATCAGTACAACCTAGGCATGCGTCGGGTGAGGATGAAGGACCGCAACGGCGGTATGGGTTTATTTTGGATGGCCGTGACTTCTGTGCTGCGACCGAGCGTGCTGTTCAGAGGACTACAGGAAACAAAGAGAATCACGCTCTAGAACATATAATCGAGGTTGCGAGCAAGGCCCCAGAGATCTGTGTTGTCATTGATGGCCAGGGCCATATGTCTGCTTGGGCTTTGGAAGATATCGGTTCTAAAGCAAAGACCAAATTGAGCGTCTTCAATATTCTCCATGTCGAAGGCTTGGACTTCGGATTTGCAATCGATCAGTCACCACAAGAAGACTACGCTCAAATTCGTGCATTCCAGAGTACAACATCAGACGACAAGCTCAGCGTTCTGGTCCATCACTTCGACGGTCGGATCGAGTGGTATGATTCTCATGTGGATGTTCTGTTTGATCCTGCACCCCGCACGAAACGAATCACCCAAACGGCTTCTTGGTCAGGCCATACTGCCCCTGTGAAAAAGATTGTCCGAAATGCGATTGGAGATACACTGGTGTCGCGTACCAATGAAAACAAAGCTACTGTATGGACACAGCGGCGTCGGGATGGAGGATTGATATTAGCACACAAGAGTGTCCTCCTTTCAGATGAGCATATTCACCGGACATGCGTCCTTGAGTACAGGACTCTTCTCGTCAATCTTCACCACAATGGGGTCTCGCTATGGGATTTCAGCTCAAATCATGCCAAAAAATTGGCTTCCTTGCCATTCACACTGCCCGGCAAACCACTATGTGTGCTGCCAATCCCCAGCACTCAATCGACTCCAGGCGTTTCCTATGTAGCGACGATATGGGCAGACATGCACGGAATTGCGTGGGAAATACGAGGCCCAAGCCAGGAAAGCCACAATGGGGACTTTGTAAATGGCCATGGCTATCAATTCCGAGAATTTTGCACTTTCGACATGGGGTTGAAGGAGGATATTGCATATATCCTTCCCGTGGACCCAGCAGGCCCCAAAACAAAAATATCGGGGTTCTTCGATTCTTTTTCTACCGACATTGCCCTCTCCTACAGCTACAGTGGAGTTGTGCGGACATGGACAGCCACAGTCGATCCAACGAATGTTAAGGTCGATTGGCTTCTTCAATCAACCGTTGATACAGGCATCGCCAACCCATCTATGGCTAGTGGTAGTTCTATTCGCAAGGCAGCTCTGGTTGATGAGGACCGAACTCACCTCACAATCTGGGACACTAACAATGCTCAGCTCGAGTTTGAGGAACATTTTGCTTCACATGACATTATCCGTGATTTGGACTGGACGTCAACACCAGACAAACAGTCCATCTTAGCCGTTGGATTCCCACACAAGGTTGTTCTCTTATCTCAGCTGCGCTATGATTATCTAGATTCCCGACCCTCGTGGACACAGGTTCGGGAGATCTGGATCCGAGATCTCACACCTCACCCTATAGGAGACTCTTGCTGGCTGAATAACGGCCACTTGGTAATTGGGGCTGGCAACCAACTGTTCGTTTATGACAAGGACATTGATGTTGGAGACCGCCTAGTGTCTGAGCTTCGGATGCCATCTCGGGGACTGTCGTCTGTCGATCTCTTCGACATTGTCAGCCGCCTGAATGGCCCGTTGCCTGTATTCCATCCACAGTACTTGGCACAGTGCATTCTGGCTGGGAAGACTAGCTTGGTACATTCGATTCTCTTGAACTTACATCGCAAGCTGAAGTTCTACACCGAGGGCGATGGGCTAGATTGTTTCCTAGAGATGCCAGTAGAATGTTTCTACAAGGAAGATGTAAGTGCGCAGCATTTCCTTTTTCTTTCCAATACTAACAAGGCCTTTGTCAGGGCTCACAACAAGCGATGTCCAAGGAAATACGCTCTTCCTACGTCGATTCCACTGACGAGGAATTGTTATCTGTCGTAGATGAAAACACCGCGGCCGCCCTCAATGAGAGTCTAGCACGGGTCGCCTTGCCGCAACTGTCTAGCCACGAACAATTCCGCTTGGCAGATACCATTGAATGCGTTGCCATGGTTGAGAAGCACCGGCGCTCGATGGACGATAATGCAGCACGCTATCTTTTATTTTTCCGACAGCATATGCTGCGGCGCACTCAAGGAGTGGCCAACAAAGACACTGTCTCATGGCGGGAGATTGTCTGGGCTTACCATAGCAGCAGCCAAGATATTCTCACAGATCTCGTCTCGCGGCAATTCAATGGAAAATTGACGTGGAAGGCTGCTCGTGAAAGCGGTCTCTTCATGTGGCTATCGGATTCCATAGCTGTGGTGCGTGTCTGTCATATCATTTCCTTGGCCACCAACTAACCGGTGAATTAGAAAGCACAACTCGAAATCCTCGCCCGATGTGAATACACCAAGACGGAAGAGAAAAATCCCATCGATTGTACTTTGTATTACCTCGCCCTCGGAAAGAAGAACGTTCTTCAGGGTCTCTGGCGTATTGCACACTGGAACCGTGAACAAGCAGCAACCCAACGTTTGTTGGCAAATGACTTCAAGGAACCGCGATGGAGGACATCTGCACTCAAGAATGCTTATGCATTGCTTGGAAAGCGACGGTTTGGTAATTCAAACCTCATATTGTCTACAAGTGAGCACTGCCAGCTAACACTAAACAGAATACGCTGCATCTTTCTTCCTTCTCGCTGATCATCTGCGTGACGCTGCAAACGTCATCATAAATCAGATGGGTGATATCCAGCTCGCAATCGCAATCACTCGAGCCTCAGAAGGGGATAACGGACCGGTTCTTCGGGAGATACTGGAAGAAAAAGTATTGCCTGAGGCCGCTTCCGAGGGCAACCGCTGGATGGCCTCTTGGGCTTTCTGGATGCTTGGACGACGAGATATGGCAGTGCGGGCACTGATTGTGAGTGCTTTTTTCCTGGCTGCCAGGCCCCAACTAATCAGATCTAGTCGCCGGTCGAGACCCTCCTATCACCAACGACGACCCCAGCCACCCCGGGAAGCCCCGGGCGAGTAACCCTTCAGTCCAAATCGTATCTTTCCAACGACCCTGCCTTGGTAGTCTTATACCAGCAGCTCCGCGAAAAGACTCTGCAAACCCTCAAAGGCGCCTCTAAAGTGCGACCTAGAGAAGAATGGGAATTTGTTATCCGCAATGCCCGACTCTACGACCGTATGGGCTGCGACTTCCTCGCTCTCGACTTGGTACGCCACTGGGAGTTCCTGGGCGGACTCCCTACTCAGGATGCATTGAAGCCTAATACCTCCCTGGAGATGGATGAGAACGGAGTCGATTACCGAAAAATGCTTCGTCGGCGGAGCAGCCTCGTAGTTGCCGATATACCGGTGCACCGGGCAGATGTCTTGCAGGAACCTGCCGTTTCTGAAACCATGCCCGGCGAGCAACCGATGAAAGAAGAACAGAAACCGAAGCCGAAGCCACCTCCTACGATGTTTCATGAGCCGGATGCCAATTCGTTGCTAGACAGCTTTGGATTCTAGGTTGGAGGCTTATTTATGTAGGCACTGTACTATTTCCTGGATATACATACATCCAGTTACTATCAAGTGAGAACCTGGAACCTAGGGCATATATAACGTAGCATCTCTTACGTCCAAACAGTTAGCTAAATAATAGCATAGCAGTCAATGTGATCCATCACTCTAAACAAGGTTCACGTGACTCGAGAGACTTTGGAAGGTCTGTCTCTGAACTTCTCTGAATTGTGCTCCATACAGCATACAATGTTACATATGTATACAACATATATAACTATGTACTTCCTTATTCTAATAGTTGAACCCGAGAAGCTAAGGGGAAGTTGACCAAGGATCAACTCCGGCAAGTGGATGAATGCTATCCACACAGCACACAGCACGGGCCTTGATCCCTGCCGAATATGATGTCGCAGATTATCTCTGGAGAATAAGGAGGCTGGTATGATGCCAGTCATTATCTGCCAATCGGCCTGACAGACGTATTCATCTTTTGATTAT